AAAATTCTATGGTATCAAAGATTTTAATATCATAAAAACCTTTTTTTTTTTTTTTTAATAACTCTATCATGATATATATCGTTATCGTTATATATACCGTATTGTCCCGAATACGGCGGCACTTTCTTTTTGTAGTATCGCCATTCTACCACTAGATTCTCTTCGTAAGCATATTTACACACATTCCTACGTACAAGTACAAGTTGGAAGATTCCACATTTTGCGTGAAACTGTTCTTACGCATTCATTACGCACACATCTGTGCGTACGCACTGTTGATAAATGAGGGCCCAGGTCTTTTTTTAAAGATTTATTTTTGGCATTTTTGCCTTTTATTATGATAGGACAGATCAGAGCTGACAGGAAGCGAAGTGGGAGAGAGAGATGGGGGCGGGATCGGGAAAGGTCCTCGAGTCGGGATTCGAACTCGGGACGGCCATAGCGCAACGGGGCTGTATGTAGGCGTGCTGCCCACAAGGTTATCAGCGCCGACAAGCATTCCTGGATATAATGTTTTGGGGGAAAAACTGTGAATTCACAACTAAATATTGCATTTTTATTTTTTGTCAAATAAGGTGCTGCATGCTTAAAGGCAGAGTAGGTTTGGTTCAGAAACATTTTTTGTTATCCTGGTTGAAAATCTCTTCACATCCTGATAGCAATCACTAAAGCTGGCCACACACTAGACGATTTTCAAATCTTAACCAATTTTAAAACCACGTGAGACCACAGACATGAAGACAATTTCAACCGGTTTTAGCCTTATAGTCTTCTGAATGCGCACACTAGACGATTCGACCAGACCGCGAGACCACACACTTGTCGACTGTAGGGACGTTTTCACAGTGACACGAGATCTCACAGAGACTCGTGAGATCAAACACGACTAGAGAAGAAAAACAAATGGAAGACAATCGACGTTGTCAGCTGGCTGTCCTGGCACGCGTTCTGTTTCAAGGTGAAAAACAAAGTATATCAAAGAATATGGGTGATGTATTCTGCTTTCGTGGCATGTTTGTGGCTGGCAAGTTTTAGCTATAGAAGCATGCAACATCTGGTAGTTGACGCTTGCTCGCTCTCATTGGCCATCGCGGGTATAACGTCAGAGGCAGCCAGATCAAGAGTCGTAAATATCAAACATGTTTGAGTTCAGGGACACTCCGTCTCAATCGGGAGCAGTTAAATAAACAATGACTTCATCCTAGGTTGGAAGATTGTGTATTGTGCATTTTTTAGCAATACGTTTGTCTTTCTGTGGCTCTAATAAATTCGGTGATTCATTGTGCTATAGATCGCAATTTCTCATCCCATTTGCTGACGCATTTTACAATAAGTTAGGCCCTCTCTGAGGGCCTAGAGGGCCCTGACGGTTCCCCACTGAATAAACGCAATGACACCACACAATAGAGGATTTTCTGGACAAAAAATCGCTTGCGACAAGCCGCGAATCAGGCTACACCCCCCAGACTTAAATCAAATCAGGCTTAAAATCCTCTAGTGTATGGCCAGCTTAAGTTAAGTGGTCTGAATGTATTTATTTGTATTTAAATCGTCTGTGGAAGGCATAGGATCATAAAATGTTTGTCCAATCATATTCCTCCATCCGCTTTTTCTTTCAAAGCTAGCTTGCCATAGGTGGAGTGTGTGTAAGGCTGGGCAAAGCTTAGCCTTCCCCTGGCCACGGATCTGAAATTAACATGGGCTTGGGGCAAAAATGCCACCAAATTGGACAAAGATGCCCCTGTACAATTAAACTAAAAGATTAAGGATGTCACGAATAAAGTGAAAATGAAATGGAAAGTGTCAATTGCGGCATTAAATTTAGATCTGCTAATGATGCATCAAATTATGCGTTTTTCCAGCGTTCCGCATTATATCCAATCACACACGATTCTGTTGAGCTTATGAATGCAGTGGCCAATCAAAGGCATTCAGATGAGTCATCGCTGAAACGCAGACTCGTGCAAATTCTCTCATCATAAACAACAAAGTGGAAATGTACGTATGATGTAAGTAAGAGATTCATTTGACATTGTAGGCAGCTTTATTGATTATAACGGGGGAGTTTTTTTAAACTCACGCTAGACTGAAGTCAGTCATCATGTTCTTTGATAATGTAGGCCTAAGTGCTCTTTGCTTGCTTTTTAATTGGATGCGTTATAATTAGTAACTTGCAATGTTTTTATTAAATTGTGATCACGTTATATACAAATTCAGTCGTATTAAAAATATTTTGTGACATGACACCATATCTGCTACTTAAGCCTTTTTCTGCCATTGAATTAAAAAAAGGTAATTGGACAGAATTAGTCAGAATTAGCTACGAGATATAACCTCAGAATTGCGCGATAGTAAAAATTGTGAGATAAAAAGTCGCAATTACCTCGTTTTATTTTTATTTAGTGTGTCCATATGTGCTTGCCTAACAGAAGGGGTTATGATGTGTGTGTTATTAGGATTACACTAACATTAGGCAAATTTTAAACATTATACTTCGATATTATAAAATTATCCAGAAAAAAGATGCTGTTTGTACAGCAGTTATTTAGGGTTGGTTCATTTGCCAACCAGCAGAATAATTTCGGATGTTTATTTGGTCATTATTATTGCCGTAGTATATTTAATTTGTGGTGTTTTGTCACATTGAATCGGAATTAGCATGTTTTGAGTTTTGATTAAGAGGAAAAACTGACCCAAAAGCTAAAAAAAAAAGGGGGGGGGGGTTCTGTAAGATTTTTTTGTTTTTAAAAGAAGTCTCTTCTGCTCACCAAAGCTACATTTATATGACTAAAAATACAGTTAAATCAGTAATATTGTGAAATACTATTAGAATTTAAAATAACTTTTCTAATTAAATATATGTTAAAATGTAATTTATTTCTGTGATCAAAGCTGAATTTTCAGCATCATTACTCCAGTCTTCAGTGTCACATGATCTTCAGAAATCATTCTAATATGCTGATTTGCTGCTCAAGAAACATTTCTGATTATTATCAATGTTGAAAACAGTTGTGCTGCTTCATATTTTGAT